GTTAATTATATTATTATTAGAAAGTAATATTCTATTGTTAGGATATTTGTTACCATTTATAATTAGAATCCTAGATTATTTAGTTTCCTTCTATGGTAAGGATTCTTTAGATGTACTAGCTATAAATGTATCCATTTCAATGAATTATTTATCAATGAATAAAGAAAATACTTTCTCCTAAACTTCAATCTTTCTCTCTTTCTCGCCTCTTTTGTTCTTGGAGCTTGAAGGTGCTCGAAATCCTTCCCTATCCCGATACGATACCGTATCATGCTGGCTAGTTAGAACACTAGTGATTCAAGGTGTGAGTAAGATACACTAACGCCCATGACCCATCCCACCCCCAAATCCCATTCGTGAAACTTTTCTGAGTTTGTTGTAGTAGTAGTTGTAACAATCTTCGCATATTGCTTCAAATCAGTGGCGGACCTACTCAGTGTCAAGTGAAGTCAATTGACTCCACTAAACTGAGTATAAAAACTGAGTATAAATTGAGCAGTAGTTATAGTATATTACAACTATAGGTAATGGTAGCACAGATGGTTGGGAGCTTCGTTTCTGTTTAGGCAACCTGAGTTCGAAACTTAGTGCTGGATTAGGCATTTCTTTTTGCTCCACCCTTTTGATATTTGAAGTCTTTTTCTAAGTTTTTTTTCTTAAAGTAGCATGTAAACTTTTTTTTTATTTGATTTTTTGCAATTTTCAATACAAACCTTGACCATTAATATCTAAAAATATAATATTTCAAAATTATATTTCAAAATAGGTCTATTAATACTAAGTTTATAAAAATTGAATTCTATTTTTATAATTAATGGTTAAAATTTAAAAACTTTGACTAAGAAAAGTCATAGCGGGAAGAAATTTTTTGGGAAGGGAGTTTGTAATAGCGCGCTGTAGCTTCGGCTTAAGAGTTTGAATCTCATTTTTAATTTTTTTTTTAAATTTAAGAATATATTACTTTTAGTTTTAAAATTATAAATGAGTTAAAATTATTGAATTGAAATGTGACTCCACTCCTTGCAATTTCTGGGTCCGCCACTGCTTCTAATCCTTTTTGTCAATGGTAAGCTAAGTGATTTCATATTTTTTTCCTAAGAAGATCACCACCTCGTTTTAAACCTCTAAGATATTGCTTCAAATAGATTGCGTGAACTTTTGAACTCAAAGCTCTATTTGAGACTTAATATTTAAAAATATCAAATATCATCAAAGAATTGTCTGGTATCATACTAAAAATTGGTACAAACTGGAAAGGTGTTATTCATGTTTGGGATTATTTGAATAATCAGCCCTTTCATCCTAGATTCCTAGGTGTGGGTTTCTTGGGAAATTATACAACACATGAACAAATAAGGCAGAAAAGGATGAGTCATCCATTATGTGGTACAATATAACACTTTTAGAAGCTAAGGACAGAGAAATTTTAGTAGAAAAGGATCTCTGAATTGCTAGAGTAAAGAGTGTCGTTGTCTTTACCTGTGCAATCTCAAACCCACGCCCCTCTCCAAGGAGAATGTTCTTGTCTGAGACACGTACATTCTCAAACAATATTTCTGCATGCCCATGTGGTGCATCATCAAAACCAAACACTGCCAGTGGCCGCTTTATTGTTATACCTGGGGTGTTAATATCTACTAAAATCATAGACTGCTGCTTATGCAATGGAGCAGTTGGATCAGTTTTCCCCTGCAAGCAAATCGAATCAGCAGCATCCTTAAAGTGCAATTATCAATGGCTGGGGATTCATCATGTTAATCAATTAAAAGACAAGAACTAACCATAACAATGAGAAGCTTGCACCTTGGATCCATGGCCCCACTAGTCCACCACTTCTTTCCATTAAAGATATACGAATCCCCAAACCTGCAAAGATCCACAAACCAAAGTTTATCAGTTTCCGCATAAAGGAATCCATAGAAGTTTGTCTAGTTATGGATTTTGTAAGTCTTGAAGCATGCATCAGTAACGGAAGAGTAAAGAGAAATAAAAAAAGCACCCAAAACATTACATACAAAGAATAGAACTCTATGAATATTTAGAAGCAGGCAAAACTTTACCACCAAGTCCACCATCACAACTAATGAAAACATATGTTATTGTTAAATATATTAAGTATATATTTAGTATCTTGTGTATATAGTAGTTTCCATACATGTATAGTCCTTATTAATTAAGGATTCCTAACATAGTAGGTTTCCTATTATAACTAGGAATACTCTACTATATAAACTCCCTTGTATTCACACATTATGATTATTGGAATATATTAATTCTTCATGGTATCGGAGCCCTAAAACTCTCACGGTTCCCCTTCCCTTCTTCGGCTCTCCTTCTTCGTTCCTCACCGCCGATTCTCTCTCTCGGCAGTCCCTCTCTCTCCCTCTCGGTCATCTCTCCCTCTCGGTCATCTCCCCCATACTTCACCATGGCCGAAGTCTCTTCTGTCTCCACCGAGAACACCAACAACCCCAAATCTCCTCACCTTGCGTTTACCACAATTTCAAACATCAAACTCCATATCCCCGTTCAACTTAGTATCTCGGAGCCAAATTACAAAAAATGGAGTAGACTCTTTCGTCTCCTTGTTCTTCGCTTCAATCTCATGGGATACCTTGACGGCCTCATCGTCGCCAAATCGGCCGACGATGCCGAATGGTACCAGTTCGATGCTCTACTACAAGGGTGGATCTTGTCCACCGTCTCCGACGAGGTCTCCGATCTCGTCCTCGCCAACAGCCCCACCGCCGCGCCGCTATGGCTTTTTACAAATTATTTCATGACAACAAGCATGCCCGAGCGATGCAATTGGAGCATCGTTTCCGCACAACCGTCAAAGGAACAAAGACAATAAATGAATATTGTCATACTCTCAAAAACCTTGCTGACTATCTTGACGACGTCGATGCTCCGGTGACCGAACACGCCCTTGTCCTCCAAGTTCTTCAAGGCCTGCCGCATGATATCCGGGGACAAGTTCACTTCTTACAGTATCAGAATCCGTTCCCTTCCTTCTTGGAGGTTAGATCGGCCCTCTTCTTGGTCGAACAACAGCAGGCCGATGCCCTCCCTACCGCCGGCCCGTCCACAGCTCTTCTCAGCTTCAACGGCGGCGGCGGCAGTCCCACGATAGGCGGGGGTCAGTCACGGCAGAATAGCAGCGGGCAGAATACCGGGCGCGGCAGCTTTGGCGGATCCAATCGGGGCAATTCTGGTGGCTACCGCGGCCGTGGCCGTGGACGTGGACGAGGCAGCCCGAATCAACGACAACCCGGAGGCCCAAATCCCTGGCAGTTCCCTACTCCCTCACCCGGCCTACTCGGCCCACGCCCATATCCAGCCCAGGCCCATGCGGCCCAATACCAAAACCCACCCAACTACCCGAACCCGCCCCAGGCCCAATACCCGCAGCCCAACCCATACTACCCCACTGCCTACCCAAACCCGAACCCTTTACCCACTTACCCGCAAGCCTACCCC